TTGGATCTTCAGGCAAGCCACCCCGCGGTGGATCGAGCCAGGTCGCAGTCGAGGTCGCAAGCGAGTCGACGGGAAGCCCCTTCCCTTTGATCCCTGCCCCGCCGTGGGGGGGTCCCAGGCGGGGGTCATGGGGCGGGTCCCTGGGGGGGTCCTGGGTCAGAGTACGGTGCCTGCCCCCTCCCTCTTCGGGCCGCCTTCGAGGGATGGTCTGTCTCTTGCGGCAGTGCTGGTCCAAGACGTCCAAGACGGTCCAAGAGAGGCCTGACCCAATCGAAGAGCGCTTCAAGACAGCCCAAGATGCTTTCAATACGACCTAAGAGATCCCCAAGACGCCCTCAGGAGGGCTCCAACACGACCCCAAAGAGAGCCCCAAAATGCAAAACACAAACGCCATTTTCCCCGTTGTCTTATGCACTTTCGCGTTCTCGTTTTTACGGCTTCAGACAGCCTCTGACGGTCAAACAGGCCCCCAAGTCCGCCTCAAGACAACCCAAGAGGGCCCCAAGAGGCCCCAAAAAAATCCGAGAAGGCCCCAAGAGGACCCGAAATGCACCCAAGGGGGCCCCAGAGGCCCGCAAGAGGCCTCCGAACAGGGCCCCGGAGGGGAACCCGAACGGCACTTTGGAGCCGCTCCCCTAAAGACAGCCTCCGAGCGCGCCCACGGGACCCCCAGCGACCCCCAAGAACCCCCTCCCTACGCCCCCCACGGCGCTCCCGAGGGGCCCCGACGAGCCTCTCGCGAGTCCCGCGCCCTTCCCGGGGCCGTCCTCCGGACCCTCCCCCCTCCCGAGTCGGCGGGGCTGGCCGCAGGGCCTCTGCCAGGTGCCCGTGGCCGCCCCCCGGGGCCCGAGCGTGTAGCCGTGCCCGCCGCCCGCCGGGGCTGACGCCGCTCGGCCCCCCGGGCGGTGGTTCGGGACAGACTCCCCGCCTGGGGCAGGTGCCGGATCTCCTCTCGGGAGGCGCGCGTCAGGCCCGAGCAGAGGGCGTGCCCATCTCGAAGCATGGATCGTTTCCCGAGCGGCGTGGCCAGAAAGCGCCCGCCACGACGCACATACTAGAAGATTTCTCGGTGCGCGCGTCGCCCCTGGAGCGGGGGGCGACGCACAACTAATTAGTGTGAGTGTGTTGGGGTGACGCCGATATGAGGGAGGGGCCCTGATCTTGGGAAGGCCCACGCGTACCCCCGGGACGGCGTACGTATCCCTGCAAAGGCGTGGCAGCGGCCACGGTTTCATCCATGGTGCACGCCAACGCCCAGCCTGTGGGCGTCCCGAGGTGGGCCCTGAGCTCGCCCCTTCAAGGTACTCCTAGTCTGGAGTAGTCCCTGAGGACTTCCAGGAGGGCGAGCGAAAACAACTAGCACCAACCCATATGATGTGCAATCGATGGAGCACGTAAGCAACTGCATGCCCGCCGAAACTATAAATTAAGCATCACGACTGATAAAACATGTGCGGCTAACAAAACATGGACTGCTGCTGGAGTCTGCACTTAACGGAAAACAAGCTTGCCGCTGGCCTCGGAGTGACCGCGAGAACGATCTAGCATCTCCTGCCCTGCCCGTTGTGTATCAGTGTAGTGGGAGGCCCGTAGATGGTAACACTCGGATTCGGCAGATGATTACGAGCGTGGCTCACATGTACAACTCAGAACGCAGAGGGCTCGACTGTCACTGTTGGTCGACGTAACGTTCAGGGTGGAATTCGTTGTGCTTCAACGTTGCACTGCGCTTGTCAACACCGTTCACCCAAACGCCCAGAGGAATCAATCATGACAATAGCTGGCAACTGCGCATTGTAACAACGTTGCGGCTACAGTGCCTCGACACTCAATAAGCACTTCAAACATGAATGCCCTACTGCTCCTACCCACGTTCTCCACATCAACCCGCAATATTCGCCTCTCGAAGCAGCTCGCTTGCATGCGGACTGCGAGCCAAACCGACCTGGCTAAACAAACAAGGGTGTCTGAGCTGATTAACCAACAGTCGGGTGCACGACGACGGGGGGGGATGCGAGGGGCAGGCCTTCTCAGAAGGCGGCGGGACTTCCCGACGCCCCCTGTGCTTCTGAGAAGCCGTCTCTGTCTTCGGAGAACAATTTGTAAGCTTCTCAGAAGGCCCGCCCCCTCCGCCTTCCTCCCTGGGCGCGCCGCCGAAACAGGGCAAGAGGGAGCGACACGAAACGCGAAAGTCGCGGTGCTACTGTCAAGCCAAATGCGCCGCGCGCAACGCGAGTCGCGGTGATGTACCTACGCAGCCCCGCGCCACCAACCTGTAAGACCAGGAGTAACCTGGGGCATGGCGACCCCAATCGCACGCCGTGTGGAGTTTTCGACTGGACAGAAAAGCGGGCCCGACTCGGGAATGCACTATGGGGTGGGGTGCGTCCGAAGAGCTCTCTCAGCGTCCAACCTGTTCGGGGGGGGCCTCGGGGATTGCGGTCGCCTGAGATCTGAGAGACAAAACAGAATAGATAGATGCCATGTGGGTCGCACACCC